TTTCTTGGTTTCAAAGAAGGAAAAATGTACTAACAGGTACTCAAAAGAAACAATGCAAACTCTTTACTGTTACTAATACTATTCAGTGACAGAATTCAATTCGTCATTGCCTACGAGATGTGACCTTCTAGTGCAACGATGAGTGACATCATCACCTATCTTAACCGGACAGCGAATCTTCCGTTCGCATTTGCTCTGCCACCTTTGTCTATCCGTCTTAACCTGGACTCTTGCCAGTCGAACCCTGATATAACGATCGTCCGTAGACCTAAACTTCGGCTTAGAATTTGCTCCGGTACTTGGAATTGGTACAGGAATTTTCAGGGAATTTCAGGAATTTACAGGAGAGTTCAGGAACATGTTTCCTTTTGCTGTTTCTTATTAGTTTCCAACGAACCTCAAATTGTCTACTTTCTGAAACAACTCTCACGCCTTACTGCAATCACGAGAGACGTACTTTAAGGTTTCCTGGAGTCGAACTCCTAACTTTTCTCAAGGAAGACTGAAGAATTTCTCCAAAGCAAAACACTTACTTGGAGTTACGTCCATAACTCCATATTAACCAATCAGTAGCGACTGTTTCCTAAATCTTTTCCGTAGCTAATCATGCAGTAATTAACGTTCTTTTTGAACGATTAATTATTGAAAAGCTTCCCCATTTAACCGGTTGATTTTGGGAAGAGGAACACGGTCAAATTTCGTCGCTTGGAACCAATTTCCTTTGACGTTCAGAAATGAAATGAAAATCATAACGTCTCTAACCCTTTCTACTTTAAGTTGACTTTGATACAGTTAATTTAACCAATGCTTCTAAGAGTTTTCAAAATTCGACACATCACAGAACCTGTTCAATTAAACTCGTGTTTGGTGGATATATTATTAAAATGCTGAAATTATGCTCTGAGAATGTTCTGAAGGCCACCTGTCATCTGTACTAGTGCAAAACAGAACTTGTAGATATTGCGGCACAACCACAACCTCCAGAACTAGCCTACAAGTGAATGTAATAGTATCGAATTGTGCATTTCTTGATTATTCAAACACCAGTATCCTGCTATATATCTTGCGACAGCTGGAATATGTTTACAGGGTGGACATAGTATAGGATGAAAAGATTTCCAAGTACTATGTTCACATTGCTGAATTGACAAACGTCGCACTGAACTATTCTCACAATTAGATGCTGATGTACGTTTACACGTATCTAGCATCAGCATATTATTGTCAGGACAGCAAAAATACAAATGTGACTTTAATCATCGTGTCCAACTAGCTTGACATTCCAGTGACCGAGATTTGTTTCCTTTGAAGTGGGCAAGCACCACAGGCAGCATTGCGTCACATGACATTACAGCCACCATGAATGCCAAGGCAATGTCTCTTACATTGACCGCTTGTAATTTTCAGCTGGGAGCACATGACAGAATCAACAACAGATACTGGCAATGCCATGATGCAACTGAAAAAGCTTGCTGTACTTTTCTATGATGGAACTAGTGTGTTATCAAAAGTAAACGAGGCAAGGCAACATCTGTTTTCAAGAAATCCACTAGCCAGTGAGAAGAGCACAACACGAGAAGATCTCAAACAGCACATAATCTGCTCAGCCTATCAGAGGTAGATCAGAGGTCCAAACTTATTCAATACCGCAGAAAGTTTTGCTAGAGATAAAACTGTTATATAACGATGCACTCTAGCTGTAATAAAGCATATTGAAGCCAGTACAGAATTACAAGGTCAGCTTTAACTGCGTTGATCTTTGCCATTGTAAAGAAAAGTGGTTTTAGGTCTAAATGACTTAAATAAAAGTTGTTACATTACCTTCTTTATAAAGTGGATATATGCCATATACATCAGAAGTACCAGAATCTAAGATTAAACCTGCGCAAGCAGAATGCTAATAGAATCTTTATAATGCAGTGATTAGGTGTTGCTTGACTGTCTTTCTTTATAACCTTCACATGTTCTGCATCTGTTGCTGTATTCAGCTGAAGTATCGAAATAATTTAATTTTGGTTAAAATTTTTATCTTACCTTCCTAAGAGGAATGCAGTAAGAATCAGTGTCAAAAATAGAGCAGTCCAGTATCGTCTATATCAGTCTATGTATTCTATTGAAAACGTGGGATACTATTAATATACAACTTGGTAGCCAAATATGCCATGGGATACTGCCCTGCATGCTTAAGCAGTTTAAAATTGATGCCCTCATATGCCAGGTAATCTTGCTTTGGGTGCGCAAGCAGTCTTAAACATTATTAATCTAATCTTGAAAGTAATAATGCCTTGCTTGCGTAACCAGTCTTAAAGTTAGTACCCAAATTTACAACGTGTTCCTGCCGTGCCTGCGACAGCATAAAGTAACATGTACGTCATATAGTAAACCCCAATAATACCGATACAGTTTTCAGGAATCCATGGTAGTCAAATTACAATTAATATGGCAGTAAAAGAAATGCTGATATAGATAATAAAATTCAAAAGGAAATAAATTTATGGTACATGTTAGGACGCATTATAAGACATAAATATGGAACGGTTATATATAAATCTAATAATGATACAAATAAGACTGATAAACATGAACTGACAAATAATGTCACCAATTTTGTGTGTGCAACTATATTATACATGGACGAAAATGTACATGGGCTTTGTTGCCGCATATAACGTTACCCTTTAGTTTTAACCATGTTGATTTAAAAATCCCGTTTACTCACGGATGCAAACATCAATTTTGCCTCGAGTTCCTAGGCAGTGTATGTGACCACTAACATGGCCCAAATTTTATCTCAATCTTCACAACACATAAGCTGTCCACTTTACGGAGACAATCGCCAGCTGCGGAACTTCTACTTGGAGTCGTCGAACTCAGTACCAGGGTACCGTGGCTATATTAACTAGAGAAAGATCCATTTTTTAGTTTCTGGACCAGGACGTCTATGAAATAGGGAGGATAATAATGAATTCTATAGCTGGCAGGTATTAGCGGAAAATACAATGTTGTTCTTTACTCATTTGTTAGAAGTTGTGGAATTGAAATATAATCTCAAGATACCAATTCAATAACTAAAACATCACTGTCATTATGTAGCTGATAATCAAGTGTTAATCAACCTTATGTATCATTATACTTGATGAACAATTCAATGATTACAAACTCATTACATTATTCACATTTGTTGATGAACAATTATCGATCAGCCTTGCTAGTAATTATAAACATTGATCATATATGTTTATAAATTCCTCCTGTTGATGAATTACGTGTATTGATGGTATTCGTTGATATACGAGACAACTTGTAACAATTTACTGAAAATCCTTGTTTACCGTATCCATTTAGGAACAATGGCATTTTTATAAATCAGCCGTTGAATTTTTTGCGCCTGAATAAGGTGTCATATTTATTCATTATTCAATTTGCATTAGAAATAAACACACCATTGCCAAGTGCCGTTTCTGATCTTGATACATTTGGTTCCATTTTTAAAAACATAAATAAAGATTATGTCTATAACTTGTATTCTGTTGAAGCATGCCAAAAGTAAAGTGCTTTTAGTTGCTATGTATAGTATTATCTAAAGTTGTGCTAGTATTGACGTATTATGTAAAATGTGAACTTTTCTCAGTTTACTTAAAGGCAAACAAACAAAATAACTCAGCATTCAGTCGTTACCGTCTTTAAGCACAGCGCTATTCTTCCTTACTATTTAGAACGAGTCTATTATCTTGTCAATTATATGTGGTGTGTCAATTTGTCCAGAAATCTGACAATGCCAACGCCATTTTATTTCTAAATAGCAGGATAATCTTCTCTTCTAGAAAGCTACATAAATCAGATAACTAGATATTTTTACATCATCTGTACATCCTGGAACGGCATGATGAATGATGATATGATTGAAGAGAAATTGCAGCGGAACTGGCCATAGCAATCCGAGAGTAAATTAGATCACGTTTCATGCAAAGGTTTTATATCTGAAAGACTTAATTAAAATTATACTAAGAAGTCAAAGCACAACCTAGGCTACACTTCTGCTCTTAATTATCTCCATTCTGATATTCTGACTGGAGAAATATTGTAAGTTGACCATAATTGATACAATTTTCATGGAGAAATTAGACCGAATGGGTTTGAACTGTATTATCAGTACAAAACAAAACGAGGTCTTCGACTTCACCTGTACTCGGGGACAGTAGCCGGTTTTCCTTAAAATCATTTTTTGTACGGTCAATAGCGAACGTATTGACATTTGCGTCTGCTTTCAGAAACAGTAGTTTTATTGACTTCCATATAAAAGCCACATCGGAACAATCCTTCCCCTTCTATCGTTTTCCTTTTGTATGTTTGATATCTGGGTGTAACATCAATAACACACTTCATCTTCAAGTTCAGGTGATCTACTGACGTAATCATTTAAAACGGCGTACCTTGTGGAATTTAAAATCGACTAGAACGAGTTCCTTCATTTTGTCAGCACTGGTTTCGTTTGTTTCACTCGACTATTATCTTTGTGTTTTCGAAACTCTGAATTCGTACCAAATATGTATTTGAAAGCAGCATAATATTTTTAGTTTAATGCTTTGCTACATCCATCGAGTCCTATGCACGTTGTCTCTATTTAAGTCAAATGTGAGCGGTTGATCGAGTATTATCCTGATCAAATTGTATGAGACTGTAAAATTATATCCACTACTTTAGCCATGTAAGAGATATTATTGTCCCTTTTTGTACTTTTGTGAGCGTTTGCTTCTGCAATTTGTTTTTATCTGCACGAACTGGGATGAATTATTAGTAACTAACACTCCAAAAGTGACAAAGTTTTAAGCTCTTTTCGTGCACTACATGTAAACTTATCAATCTATATTAGCAAAACGAAGATTGAGAACCCTAGAGAAAATGGTTTTAAGTCTTTAAATGTATCACCTGCCGACGTCTCAAAATTAATTTAGGATATTCGTGATTTCTAACAAATTTCATCTTCAAAGTGTAAGACCGCTCGTGTGGTCTAGTGGTTAGAGCGTCCGTCTAGGATACGGGTGGTCGTGGGTTCAAACCCCAGCCGAGTCACACTAAAAATTTTAAAGAATGGTACTAACAGCAGAGCTTGGCGTTCAGTATTAAGAGGTTAGTGTTAGTACCGATCGGTCCGGTGTCAGGATAATATGACTGGTTGGGGCATCATGCCACATGTCTGCGGCATGATGATTCAGTGCTAGACATCACTGTCATATGCCAGACATCGAATCAATATGAGTGAACATATTTTAAAGCTACGTTAAAAATCTAAATCTCATCTAAGCTTACAAACACACTTTTTTCAAAATGAAAGCCAAGAGCAAACGTTATATCATTAAATGGGGTCTTTATTTGTTCTTTAGGTTTTCAAAGTATATCCTAAACTTCACAGCTAATAGGTCGGTTGCTCAAAATTGATTTTGACACTTAGTTCCGTTTCTTTTAAAGATTTTTTTAGTGTGTGGACAAGATTCAGTTTTAAACTATATCAACTGAACTTAATAACCAAGATAACAAGATTTTAAATTTAAGACAATGCTACTTATTAAAGTTTTCAAATGTTAAACTCTTATTGTTTATCAAAGATATATGTATTTCAATATATATATGTATATATATATATATATATATATATATATATATATATATATATATATATATATATATATATAGATGCAATAAACTGACGACGAACAGTACGAAACTAGTAACTAAATAGCCTAAGCGCTTTCGACTCTTAATGAGTCTTTTTCAAAGGCAAATACAAAACATAGTTACGACAAACAAATAAACACAAAAACGTTGCGTTTGTAAACCTCTACATTTCTATCTTCACATGTGCTAAAACTATAAATACAACCAGCTTGTATAGACTAGTTGCGGAAACTGAAAACGTTGTATAATTCCCTAAAAGTCTACAAGCCAAAGCGACATCTATTTTTACTTTGTGTACATATGTAACGCAGATTATATCCCGGATATTTGGTTCTATACCGGTTATTCTAATAGTAAAAATTGAAGATTTAGAAAATGTTAAATTCTACTAGTGCATAGTTTTCATTTTCTAGTCTTCTTGGTTTAGACCGCTTGGTTTCAATGTTACCAAGCGGTCTAAACCAAGAAGACTAGAAAATGAAAACTATGCACTAGTAGAATTTAACATTTTCTAAATCTTCTTATCCTTCAATTTTTACTATTAGAATAACCGGTATAGAACCAAATATCCGGGATATAATCTGCGTTACATATGTACACAAAGTAAAAATAGATGTCGCTTTGGCTTGTAGACTTTTAGGGAATTATACAACGTTTTCAGTTTCCGCAACTAGTCTATACAAGCTGGTTGTATTTATAGTTTTAGCACATGTGAAGATAGAAATGTAGAGGTTTACAAACGCAACGTTTTTGTGTTTATTTGTTTGTCGTAACTATGTTTTGTATTTGCCTTTGAAAAAGACTCATTAAGAGTCGAAAGCGCTTAGGCTAGTTAGTTACTAGTTTCGTACTGTTCGTCGTCAGTTTATTGCATCTATTTTAATTAATCCCTGACAAACGTGATCCCTTGGTGGATCCAGTACGCTTGAGAGGGTTGTTATTCGCCATATGATTTGTATTCTTTATATATATATATATATATATATATATATATATATATATATATATATATATATATATATATATATATATATATATCTATATATATATATATATATATATATATATATATATATATATATATATATATATATATATCATCTGGTAGAATTTATTGATCGATTCATCGTCGAAAATAGCGCAAGGTAGTAAATAAAGCGGTTACTATAAAATACAATTCTTTTTAAGTCGTTATCGACAAGAACAGTTTTTACAAAGGGCAAGACGTTGCTATTCAAAAGTTGATATCGAAGAAAAATGTTACTTAGTTTTTCTTACCAATATCGTTACCATAAATTGCAAATGTCTTGACTGTTTTTTAGTGATAGGTGTTATAATGAGTTCTTCTGAAGTTAATGAGCAAGGTTTTGCATGAGACAAATCAACCCTTGGAGGTAATAAACCTTTTGTGCACCTTTAAAATCAGACAAGAGTCTGCATTCGTTCCACACTGTGGTTTAAATATCTAGAATCATGTGATAGCTTTGACACCCAAGGCTGAATATAGTTTAAAATCTGTTGTGCCAAATCGTTACGGCATTTTGTTTTATGTCGTTTATTGTGAGATCTGCTTACATGAACACTTGTATTTTTCCGTTAAAGTACATATATTGAGTTACTGTATCTTGAAATCTTTTGACCAAGGGAATATTTTTTTTTCTAAATTTGTCAGCACGGACATAAGAGTGAAAAGATATGTAATATGAATATCAGGGTTGTGAACCCTCCATCCTATCGCCATTTTGTGGCTAGGAGCAGAAATTAATATCAAAGATGTAAACAATAAAGACTTTCTTTGGAAAATCTACACTCTACTCAATTAAAATGAATTTGATATATGACAAAAATGCAAAAAAGGAATTTTCAACGGGGTAATAGAGTTCTGACTGTCTCACATGTATCTCTACATCCTCATCAGGCTGTATTTATGGTACTTATACAATTGAAGCGAAACTAATGATCTGAATTATATAATTAATAGTCCTAAAAAGCAAAGGTAAATACAACTGTGTCTTATAAATATTTGAAAGGGGTATGTTGATTGATATAGCCATGTTAATCATGGAATTAAGTTAATTGTACCTGTCCCATACAATGAGTATTTAAGTGATGGAATGCAGCCGGACTGTAGTAACCAATTTTCGGAATACAGAAATTATGAATAATCTGAAACAAAAGCTTTCACATCTACAACAACAAGAAAAGAATGAACTTAAACAGCTTTTACGCGAATATGAGCTCTCGTTTCCACATGTTCCAATACGAACAAATAAAATCTACTAAGTCGATGGAAGAAGCAGAATCGGTAAAGGATAACCCCCTCAAACAGGAATGTTTGAAATAAGAATTTCAGTATTTGTTGGAGAATGATTTCATATGTTATATCTGAATTCCCAGTAATAGCAGTATAAAATAAACCGAGGCGATCTAGAGGTGTGGCTAGATAATATCGAATATTTTACTTCAAGTTTTTCGTAATTGTAGAACCCCTGATAAATTTGTTGAGAAAGGAAACCATGTTTCATTGGTCTGGAAAATTTGAAAAGTTTTTTTATTATAAATTAAATGTCATACTTAGGAGCGCACTAGTTCTTTCGCTTTAAAATTTTAGTCAATCATTTAACACTGGTGTAGTAATGATTCAGGAAGATATAAATTGGTGTGGATCATCCAGTGAGCTATTATTTCTTTAAAACATTTAAGAAGTACCAGAAAAAAAATATTCTAAAATTGAGTATGAATTATTGGCTTTGATACTGGATTGCAACACTATTGCTTCATCTCTGTCTTCGATTATTGTAGATGCTTTATTGTTAGATTCCGTGTTTCATTTGCTGGAATTTATTTATTCAAATTATTATTCTCTGGGATTGAAAGTTGCCAAATAATGTTCTTAGACAGATTATATAAGCTGAAGTTATAATGAATTCAAATAAGGATATTTTGGATTATATAATTGTGACTTATCAAACGACTGTTGTCTCAGCAGTAAGTCACAGGCACCTACATGCATTATCAATACCTTAACGGCTGGATTTTATTTCGAACATCATTGGGATTGCTGATATAACGTTTTGTACTATTGGGATTTAGATCGCTTTAATGTAAGTTCTCTTCAAATTTTCTTTTGCATTCTAACAAAAAAAAAATATTTATTGAATTTGATAATACTAGTTGGTTTTAACTCTATTATATTACTAAAACCATGAAGTGGTAATGCTATCACTGGAAACCAATTATACGGGCATCTTATATTATTGCGGATTAATCAAATAACTTTTATCACATAAGGTACCTACTATACAAATAACAATATTTAGGGACCAAGTATACGGATTATATCATTACGGACTAACAGCGCTGCTAATATTATTACGGATTAACTCTGCTGCTTATGTCATTAGGAAGTTTCCACTATTTAAGGACCAACTTTAAAGTACTACCAGACCAATGATAAGGCTTCATAAATTCTAACTAAAGGATGCTTGCAAAATCGTGCGCTTGGTAATGCCAAATATTCCCTGATATGAAACTGCTACCCTCAAAACTGATCTTGCTTTAAAACCAAAATGAGCTTTATTGTAATTACATGTTATGGCGATGATAAAAAAATATATTGATATGGAAACAACGTCAGATCTACACCTCGTTTGAAACAAACAAGCGTTAATCTTTTGCAAAGATGTTTTCTTATAAACATAAACTACACCAAATGGAATTTCCAAATGAGGGCGTTAATTTGTTGCTAGGCAATAACTTAGCTGGAGACAATGTTGTGGTTAATTCACTTATAACTGACAAGTCTTTTTATATCAGAAAGTTGATCCTATTGAAAAATAAATCTCTGATTTATTCCCAGCTTGCGCAATTACAAGAGCTATGGCAAAGAAAGCTCTTGAGAATGTTTTTGATAAGGACTGTGTTCCTTTACCTGACACATGTATTGGTCAGGCTTTAAATGAGGTCACTTCACTTTTAATTTGGATCAGTCGATAAGTATTGATCATAGTGATCATTTTTTGAATAATCATTCTCTTTTATCTGATCACGGTGATAAACGACAACCACTTGTCTTTGAACAGGAGAAGGATCCTGAGATTTCCTGTTTGTTTCAGCGGCCGTTAGTGAAACTGAAGCAACTGAAGTACCGGTCTATTACTTTATTAAAAATGGAGTTATTATGAGAAAAAGGAGAGCTCCCGAGGTACCTGTTAGTGACGAATGGTCAGTAAAATATCAAATTGTGGTGCTGAAACCTTACAGACAGGAAATACTTTGGTTGGCCCATGAAACTCCTCTGGCTGGTCATTTAGGGATAAATAAAACGTATCACAAGATCTTGACTCGTTTCTTTTAGCCAAAGATCAAAAGTGATGTTTTGCCGATCTTGTTATGAG